CAACGCCCACTCGAGGAAACTCAAAGCCAGGCGACACGCATAAAGATGGCAGCTCGAGAGGCCCACTCGATGGTCGTTCATAGAAAACTCTTCATCACAGACACACACACACACACACACACACACACACACACTGTCACGACAAATTCTCATGGGACCTCTGTCTCCCCACTGAAAGAGTGAGTCTGACACGAGCCACACACCCACACACAAACACAGAAAAACACACACACACACACACACACACACACACACACACACACAAATGCATACAATTACCCTAAACTGAAAGTAGGGGCCCCCGCAACAGGCCAGGCAGGTGCTGCAGCAGTCCCAGCTGATAGAAGAGCATGAATGTGTGTGTGTGTGTGTGTGTGTGTGTGTGTGTGTGTGTGTGTGTGTGTGTGTGTGTGTGTGTGTGTGTGTGTGTGTGTGTGTGTGTGTGTGTGTGTGTGTGTGTGTGTGTGTGTGTGTGTGTGTGATGGGGGCTCATTTGCCGTCTGTCAGTCCAGCTTGCACGATCAGCCAGCCCTCTGTTTCTCTTCTCCTAGGGTTTTCTGTGTGTGTGTGTGTGTGTGTGTGTGTGTGCGTGCGTGCGTGCGTGCGTGTGTGCGCGTGCGTGCGTGCGCGTGCGTGTGTGTGCGTGTGTGTGTGTGAGTCATAGATCAATGAACCCAGGATTATGTATCATCCTAACATCATCCCTAGGGTCAGTGTCAGTGGGCGACTCACCCTCAGCCCCGCCCACTCTGGTGACCTCAGCTTTGACGGCCTTGCTGCTGGAGACGGTTACTCAGCAGGCGGGGGACTTCAAGCTGCACTTGGCAAGATTTTAATCTAAAAATTCAATTGATGCTAATCAGCCTAAATGACAAACGGGTGCTTCCACCGGGTGATTGAGCTCGCTGAGTCTGTTGCTGTTCATGTTTACACACAGAGAGAACAATGCCAAGTAACAATACATGTAAGCAAATAATATGCACAAGCTGCTTTGGGATGTTTTAGGTCAACAGAGCTGGCAAACATGAGTTAGAAAACAAAAAAATAATAAAATAAAATCTAGGAACATCATTTATTTGGTAAAACTTCAGTTTTCCTATTACTTCTTGCTTCCTGTTAAAACAGGCTTCTGCACCGTCTCATGCAAAATTGCAAATTCTTGTGCAATCTGTTTACACTAACGTACTGTATGTTAGTGTGTGTTGTGAATGAGTTCCAGCTTCTAACACCACATTTAACTCCTTAAGTGTAAAACCGACTGAGTTAAAGCTCTCTTTGTGTTCTCTTTGCCAGCTTTGTGAAATTTGGTTACTTCTGACAGTAAAGAGCCAACTAAAGACGCCACACAGCTTCCATTATACAATATTTCAGCTCAGTGTCCCTGAAACTGAGTTACAGCCTTTAGGGTGTTTGCTGGGATTAGCTGTGGCTACTGTCTAAAGGGGTTCCCAAAGTTGTGGTCAGGACCCCACTATGGGTCACCAATTACTCCACAGGGGGTCTAAAGATGATCTCCAGAAATAGAAATAAAAAACTCACTGAAGTGTTATTTCTAGCATAACTGTTGCAAAAACTCAACTAAATGGTCACAAATGCATGAAAGTGAAGATGAGCTGAAGTGGTTTGATTTAGCTTTTGAAGCGTGTTTGTAATAGAGGCCCGTATATAGTGCTAATATTGTTCGATAAAAACTGGTATTAACATTATTGAATTAATGTCTTGACTGTTAAACATCTGGTGTTTTTTAAACGTAGCTTCATCCATTTGTTTTACTGTGTTGATAACAGGCTTCTGCAGGTCTGACAGGGAGGACTGGGTTTTAGGAGGATGACCTAGCCTTGGAACGACCTCTTATCAGTAAAACTCCCTTGAGAAAGTCAAGAAGTCTTTGTTGATTAAGGCCCTGTCCACACGTAGCCGGGGCCTGTCATCCACACGAAAACGGAGTTTTTTCACACGAAAACGGATCTTTTTAAAAACTCCAGCCAAAGTGAAGATCTGCGTTTTCTCCGTTTTGGGTGTCTGCGTGTGGACAGACAAAACCGGAGTTTTAAGGTCCGCAACGTCACTTTCAGCGACAAAAAAATGCTGACATCACGTGTGCGACCTGTGTTTACACTAGCCGACAGCATGGACGCCCTCGGAGCTGCGCTCGCTTTATCAATTGTCCAAGCGCTTTTTGCTTGTTTGTTTTTGCAAGCGGAATTACTGCTCCTTGCGGAAGACCACAGACGAAGGACGAGGTTAAGAACGGGGGAAGTACTGCCCCCTACAGGTCTGGCATGTCCTTAACAACGTATTTATCCGGGTACGGGTGGACAGAGTTTTTTTTTTTAAACGAGGTGGTGTGGATGCAAGTTTTTGGAGGGGCGGATATTCGTTTTTAAAGAAACCCGGCTACGTGTGGACTAGGCCTAGAAGTCTTTGTTGATTTAGGGTGCACCTGGAGAAAGCTTAGTCTCCCTTTTTACAGCTTTCCGCCTGAGAGTCTAAGGACTGTCAAAATGTGTGTGCGTCAATCTTTTGTGTGTGTGCTTAATACAGTAAATGCTTTCGGAGGACTCTGTCTGATGAGAGTGAACTGCAACCCTTAGACTGGTGTGTATTCTTCCTCTCCACTTTGCAAAGTCTATGTTGATTGTTGGTATTGGTGTTGATCGATTGATTACTATAACCCCCTGTGCTTTGAACTTTCCCTAAGGTAATCCTGGATTGATAAAATTACCCAACAAATATATTATTGTTTTCTATATCGGCCATCAACCAAAATTATTTTTAAAAGCCAATAACAATTTTTTTTAATCAGACACCTGTGTGGCCGACTGCCACCACTACTAGACTGAAGAAATGACCCGAAGGACCCCAACACACTGGTTTTTTTTATGTTTTCAGTTGGTTTTATATTTGAAGTTTAACAAATATTAAGAGATTTATTGACTTATTTTATTTATACTGCACACAGTGAGTGTTCAGTTGTCTTTCACAATCAATGTGCTGCTAAAACGTGTGTGTATATATATCAGCCTTAAGAATCGGCTTCAGATATCGGCCACTGGCAACAAAATTCTTTAAAAATCGACATCGGCCTTAAAAAAACATATCGGTCGGCCTCTAGTTTGCGATGAAACAGACGTTTGTGGCTGCATGACTTCAGTTGTTATTTTGTGGGTCTGAAGCTGAAAAGTTTGAGAACACTGACCTAAAGGGTCATGTATAGACGTTTTAAGAGTTTCACTAGCTATTAAGCAAACAGAAAAGATCCTCACCAAAGGTCTTGAGCAACCTCCCTCACCTGTCAGCGCTGGAGGAGCAGCGGCTCTACTCCAAGCCCCTCCAGGATAACCGAGCTCCTCACCTCGTAGCAGCCAATTAGAGGGTGGGTGGGCGTGTCCAGCAGCAGCTTGTTTTCTTAAAGTGACAGAGCCACGAAACGACTCATTCTGGAATGTACTGAAACTGTCAGGAGTATAAACTTCTGAAGTTTCTTTATGAGAGAAGGATTTGATGCAAACACTTCAGGAGCATGTTTTGTATCGATCATAGAACTAGTTTAACTTAAGAATAAGTCATAATATATCCCCTTTAACTACCACCGCACCACGGTTTTACTCAGTTACTGTAAAACAGACTGAGACACGTGTTGGAGGCTGCCAAGGAGGATCCCCTGTGCTAGCTGTGTTTTATTGGGCCAACCCCAAAAGCCAGTCTCTTGTAGACTAAATAAACACGTAAAGAAGAGTCAAATCTGTCCAATGTTTAATGTGATATTTTCATAAGGAACAGGGTTGACACCAAAGGCAAAGTTCTACGCATCAAAGTCCCTCAATGAAAAACCCTCTCAGCGTGTGTTCTGGATGACGCTTAATAGAAAAATTTAACTCATTGTCTAACAAACCAACTGAGTTGGAGCCGTTTTATATTTGCTTGGTCAAATAGCTTTGGCAGCCATCTTCAAACGAGTCAAAAATAAGAGAGACGTATCTAGTGGTTTACTAGCCTAGAAATCTAGTCGAACCGTAGCAGAGGAAAAAGATTTCGCCCCACAGGTCGGTCTAGCCACGCTCCATCATAGCCTGTGCAGGTCTACTATTGGTCCGGCTATGTTTAGACCAGGCCAATCACAGCGCTCTATCTTTGTAGGCACCAGAGCTGCGATGGGGCAAACCAACAAAAATGCCGGCAGTTTAAGGATGGTGCTCATTTGAAACAACTTTGGCATCAACTTTGGACAACCCAACTGCGTACGAGACGGTTTGAAAGGCAACCGTAGATTCTTACCCAAGCTCTGTCTACGGGTCGTGGCCAGGCTAGATTTACATGAACAGAACGGCTTCCCAGACTAATGATTTGCCTGAGTGTTGTGTGAAAATTTGTCCAGGGGTTCATGAGATATTTTGCTCGCGCGCACACACACACACACACACACACACACACACACACACACACACACACACACACACACACACACACACACACACACAGGCCATTATCCCCAGCCTTCCAGTGGAGACTGTGTGTTCTTGTTTCCACTACAGCCACACATCATCTCTGATTCCTCCTCCTTCAGGCTGATGAATGTCAGCTGATGGTAAAAACACTGCCTTGCCAAAGGACGACAATGCCAGGGTTCATCGGGCTCAGATTAGTGAAAGAGTGGTTCAAGGAGCATGAGACACCATCTTCACACACGGATTGGCCACCACAGACCCTAACCCCATTGAGAATCTTTGGCTGGAGAAGGCTTTGTGCAGCAGTCAGACTCTACCATCATCAATGCAAGATCTGGGTGAAACACCAGATGGAGATATATCTGGTGATGTCACAGAAGCTTATTGAAACAGCGCCACAGAGAATGTGTGTCATAATTAAAGCTAAAGGCAGTCTAACAAAATATTAGTGTGTGTGATCTTTAGCGTATTAAGCCAGAGGTCACACACACACACACACACAGTAAAGCACATGAAGAAAGACTTAAGCCACATGATGTTTGAGTTTCTTACCTTGTCAAACAGAGACTTCCACTGCTGAGAAGAAGAGAAAAGAAGAGCGAGTGAAGGTGAGAGTCAGAGGAGAAGGATGACTAAACTCTGAGACAGAAAGGAGAAAGGTTCTACTCTGTAAACACATTTTATCTCTTTATCTGATCCATGGATGAACCAGACTTACCACTTCTTCTGGAGCGACGGCGAGGACGTCGGTACTTTCCAACACCTCTATCTCATCTCCCTCCGCGTTGGCCGCCACCGCTGGGGAGATGTTAACCGGAGCCTCCCGGGTTCCGCCAGTCATGCTCGGGCTGCTCTTCTCCATACATCCACGGAGGGCAGGTCGTTAGAGACGACTCCGCGCGCAGAGGCTGGCTCCCATCTCGCTCCGATACACAGCTCATTGACTGAACGCGTGCGTAACGTAGAAAACACGAGCGCACTTTTCATCCAGAAGTTAAGTTTTAGTGTTAGCGGTGGCGCAGCGTTTTGCGTCAGCGGGGACGGATGTGCGCTAAAAACAGAGGCAGAGGTCCAAGTTTGCTGCTGCTCCTGTTGTCGGAGGATGCGACGCAGCAGCGCGTGGATCAATCTGAGAGAAACAATTACATCATCAGCGGTGACAACGGTACAGGCACGGGTGACGCACCGACTCTCACGCGGCCATCCCGAACGCAGGAGCCGGTGAAAGTGGACGCGCGCACATCAACAGAGGAGTCCGGACAGGTGCTAGTTTTTTTGGTGCGTCATGACACATGGCACGCTGTCCGCTCCAGGTGAACGGGTGGTGAGCAGAGAGGAGGACGGCGCTCGGGTTTCACGCGCCGCTTACCGGGCGGCAGGAGTCGTCCAGGGGCACGAGCCGACCGAGTCCGCTGGGGGTGGTGCTGGTTCGTCTTCAGGAGGCGAAAAGACTCCGCTCCGCTCCGCTGTTCTCCCTAGAGCGCAGAGGGAGGGGGAGGAGATTGGGGGAGGAGGGGGAGAGAGATGTGGGGGCGGAGGAGGGATCACCTCTTTTCCTGCCGGGGTGGGGGGTCTTCGGATGTCTTGGAGCTACAATCAATGTTTACTGAGTAAACTTTACTCCCAAGTGATTTTTCTAACAATTTGAAATGTTTTTAGCCTTTTACGCTGTAAAAATGAGCTTGTCCATTAGGCTCTGGCCCCCGGCATGACCTACAGCAGGGGTCACCAGCTCCAGACCCTCACGGTTTGCTCCAACACACCTGGTTTCAGGATATTGTCATAGTTAGCAGAGGTCAAAGGGATGTGGAGGTGAGTCAGGCATTGCTTCAGACCTGCCGGATCAGGAAGCAACAAAACTATGCAGGATGAGAGACTGTGGCTAAAAATCATGTGAACTTTACACCAACTTGGATCTTATACTTCCGGTACTTTAGACACCTTTGATCTTTTTTCCTGTTGTAAATAATCACTGTTTAGGTTTCCTAAAACTGCATATTTTCATTGTCTGCTTTCTGATGGCGGGTTCTGCAGCTCTGTGGCAACAATCACCCTAACGGACTGGCCCATTTCAGACCAACACCTACCAATTACCTGCAGAAACATCAAACACACCTAATAGTTGGGTGGAATCATCAGGAGGCATCCTGTGTGGTCTGTAATGTGTAGGTTGATCGGTATCCGTCTGGTGGAACTTCTCCTGGTCGGATATGACTGCATCACCATGGAAACACAAAGTCATGCTGCTACCCCTGAGGAGGTTTTCCTGACTCAGCAGGTTAATGCTTTATTCCTGTTAGGTGTGTTTTCGCGATGACGCGTCATCGATCATTAGTGATGGGAATTCCGGCTCTTTTTAGGGAGCTGGTTCTTTTGGCTCAGCTCACCAAAAAGAGCCGGCTCTTTCGGCTCCCAAGTGGCTCCTCAGATTTTCTGTTGTGTAGAGTACATTTATAACCAAAATAATGCTAAACTATATGTAAAATGATTTACTAATGTAAAAAAATGCAATATATCAAATAGTTATCATTTCTATGGATTTCATAACTGAACACTTTTAGGAATCTCCACTTTCCGACTGCTGGCGCTCATTTTCTCACCGTCTTCGTTGCACTCTCCTCTCTCTGTCGCTCGCCTTTTACCTCCTCCTCATTCCCTCTCATCTCCCTCCTCCCACATGTGCTCTGCTGTGTGTCTGAGGCCTAGTCCACACGTAGCCGGGTTTTTTTTTAAACGAATATCCGCCCCTCCAAAAACTTGCATCCACACCACCGCGTTTTAAAACAAAACTCTGTCCACACGTACCCGGATAAATACGTTGTTAAGGACATGCCAGACCTGTAGGCGGCAGTACTTCCCCCGTTCTTAACCTCGTCCTTCGTCTGTGGTCTTCCGCAAGGAGCAGTAATTCCGCTTGCAAAAACAAACAAGCAGAAAGCGCTTGGACAATTGATAAAGCGAGCGCAGCTCTGAGGGCGTCCATGCTGTCGGCTAGTGTAAACACAGGTCGCACACGTGATGTCAGCATTTTTTTGTCGCGGAAAGTGACATTGCGGACCTTAAAACTCCGGTTTTGTCTTTCCACACGCAGACACCCAAAACGGAGAAAACGCAGATCTTCACTTTGGCCGGAGTTTTTAAAAAGATCCGTTTTCGTGTGAAAAAACTCAGTTTTTGTGTGGATGACAGGCCAAAACGTAGAAAAATATCTACGTTTTGGCAGATCCCCGGCTACGTGTGGACAGGGCCTGAGTCTGATCCTCCCTCTTCCCCGCCCCTACTGCTCTGTGTGTGGACAGTCTGGACACGCAGTTACACATGTTGACCAAACGCCTGTAGCTTTCACCAAAGCAAGAGGGGAGGGGAGGGGACGGCTCCCAATGACGAGCCGGCTCCCGTGGTTCACTTCAAAGACCCGGCTCTCAGAGCCGGTTCATTCGCGACCACGCAGACACACACACACTATCGATCATAAGAAATTAAATTTATTTGATTTTTAGATGATCGGTATTTTTAACCCCTAAGATGTGTGGGGTTGTAAAAAAAAAAAACACCATCCTGTTTCCACAACAGCATAAATTCTATCAGGGTTTTTGTCTTTTTAATTCATGCAAAGAACAAAGAGGAATACACTTAGCATCATTACATCACATTTGACTCCACCTGCTTTTTCAGGTTGAACTCTAGTGAGGAGCTGAGGCGATGCAGAGGGCAACGCCTGCTGGGTGGGAGAAGCAGAAGCTCCTGCAGAAGTGAGCGGCTGTCTGGTTACAGAGGCTCAACGATGTTCAGCTGATGGGTCATCAGCACCAGCCACCATGCTTCACAATAAAAATAATATCTTAGGAATGAACAGTAGAATTCAAACCAACACAGTGAATGTGGCAGTGTGAGCGTCCTGTCACAGTGTCCCGATTGATCATGCGTCCTGGCTACATGGCCAAGAGGATGACCCTTTGGCTGACTGGTTAACACGCATGACTTTCACCCAGGAGTCTGGGGACTGAACCCCGCCCGGGCCCTCGTTTCTCCACCTTGCCACACAGTTTTCTAGAACTGGACTTGAGAGAGAGGGAGAGTGTGTTTGGTTTCCAAAAAGACAAACCTTTGAATTTTTTGCTTCATCGGGATTTGCTGCTGATGTTCAAACCATGGACGTAATTTGGGGGGGGGGGGGGGGGGGGGGGGACAGGGGGGACATGTCCCCCCACTTTTTCCAAAGTCAAGTTTTGACCCCTGCACTTTTTACCATCCAAAAACAATATTACACTATATTAAATTGACACTGGTTGAGCTCTAGGACCAAGCAGAAAACAACCGTTTGTGTTGAAGCCGGTTTCCCATTAGAACATTCTGTAAAGATACCCCCCCCCCCCTGTGCCCCCCCCCCCACTTCTAAAGTGAAAATTACATCCTTGGTTCCAACACTGATTCAGTAAACTCATCTATCAAAACCGAGGATTAAAGGTGTGTGCTGTCCTCGCCTGAGGTGTGAGCCTTCATGATTCATCCTTTCATTCTGAAATAGATCAAATGCATGTCTTGCCAAATGCTGTTTGAATGCTAACTGCTGACAACGGGGAAGCGAAGCTGAAACTGAGCCTAAACTATTTCAGAGCAAAAATGACAGAACAGCAGAAAGCAAAACCATCTGGATCAGTCTGACATTTAGAGCCAGAACTAGTCTAGTAGCTTAAGTTTTCAGGGTATCTGCAGGTTTAAGGGAGCCAAATTTAAGACTTTTTAAGACCTTTTTTAAGGCCACTTTGACCAAATTCAAGCAACTTTTTCTATTTAATTTAAGCTATAATTTCCAGCTATTGCCTGGAGCCGGTGCTAACCACGTCGCGAACGTGGGATTAGCCATCCAGTTACCATTAAACTTGCACTTCCCCATGGCGCAAGCTCCCACTAGCTTAACCAGCTAATGTGCTCATCTAAAAATAGCCCCCTTTCACAACCAACTGAATGTGTGCGGTTCCGCTTACGGCACCATCGTACACAAAAAATGCTGAACACCAACTAGAAATTCACGAAAATTTTATAGAAATAAAAGAATCTTGTTTATTGGGTCTTTGGTAATTTAAGACCTTTGGAAACTGGATTTAAGGATTATTTGTAATTTTTAAGGATTTTCATGGCCTTAAATTTGGAAAAGCTAATTTAAGACTTTTTAAGGACCCGCGGATACCCTGGTTTTACTATAGCTGGACTGTCCATTTAGCAGATTTCAGTTTTGAAAGTTAAGCTTTGAAGCAGAACCAAAACCTAAAATCCAATCAAATCAGTTGACTTTGAAAGATGCAAATAAATAAATAAATAAATAAAGATCCAAACTTATGGAATAAATCAATTATAATGCTGCATGGAATCCTGCTGAATTACCAATGCTCCACGTAAACGTGTTACAAATAGTAGAACAACCACATGTAGAAACAGTAGATTGGTCTAAACGGATGATTGTTGTAATTAAAAGACTTCACATGAAGCATTTCACGGATTCGTTCGGCCTTCCTTCTGAATCCACGAAAACCTCCAGAACTGATGCAAATATTAAAATTAACAACACACACACACACAATTATAAACTCCGATTTACCTTTGGAATAATTTTGTCTGAAAAAGCAGAAAATGTAAAACAGCCTCTGATTTCTGGTGTTTTAAGTCATAAAAAGGTTCATGTTGTTCAGTTTTATTGATAAAATGGTTTTCATCCCTTTATGATAAATAACATTTACAGCTTTATATCAGTTTTAGTGAGCAAATAAAGTGAACTACAGCATACTCAACAGCTAACCTCTTCAGCCAATGCTGCCCCCTAGCGTTCATGAAGCAGAGTGAATAAGGTAAGAGTCTGATGAAAACAAAAACTTTTCCCTTTAGCAGCAAAACATCTGTCAACACAAGCTCTTATGAAAAACGTCCAGATTTACTAAGAATATTTAATTTCCTCAAACTTTTAAACAAAAAGTCACAAGTCCTGTTTCCATCAGGTCCAGATTTAAGCTAAATCCAACAAAGTTGTAATAAAATCAGATTCGCTAGACGATTAAATGTTTTAGTCACATTTGTGCCTGAATACAGGAACCTGAAGAGAAGACAGAAGCATTGCTTCAACGCACCCCTGGCCCTCCCAACGGCTGTAAACATAAACATACAGGAGGAGAGGTGGTCTGGGCCCACAGCGGCATAACTAAAAGGATGAACTAGTTCAACACTGCTTATTACATAGACGTTACTTACTGTAAACGTTTGAAAGGCCTGATGGACGAAACACAAACCTTGTTGCCACAAGTTTCGCTTTATGAAAATGAACATTTGTGGCCACATTATTGCATTTTTACTGACAAGGAGGGCTGAGCGTAAAAATCAGCCGGTCCAGAGCTCCAGTAAGACCAGAACCTCTGCTAAAGACAGACCTATGTGAGGAGCTTCAGCAGCATGCAAACACAACTCATCCGTCAGATGAACAAGCACACGAGAGGAAAAGTCCTGGTTTAGCACATCCAGACCAGCTCAGCTGTTCCTCCTGAGCCCGTCGAGGGTCGGAGGAGACCGCTGCATGTCCGCCATCTTTGTTTTACCTGTGAACCAGGTGTGGCTCAGCTTCAACAGGAAGAACCCATCTGCTATATGCGGCATTTACATCACTAACCCAGTCAGTCACATCGATCAGTAACCAAAGACAAACTAGAACTTTTATATAAATATAGCAACCTCAGCAAATCCTTTATTTTTTACAAAATTAGATATTTTCATCAGTTTATCACCAAGAAAAAAATAACAAAATGGAATAAAGCCATAAAATATAGAGTATTTATTTATATTAACCCATTGTTTCTGTTTCTTCTTCCAAAATAAAATGACTTTAAATGAGAGGAACTCTAAAGGCAGAACCAGGACTGATGTGGGTGTCCCGTTGCTGGACGTGCTTCACTGGCTCCTTCTGCCGTGACGAGGGTTAAACGGTCACCGTGACTTCAGCAGCACTCGGTACACGGCGAAGCCCAACACCGCAAATACCGAAGCCCCAACGCTCGCCTTCAGCCAGAACGTGGAGCTCTTCAAGTCCTCCTGGCTCACATGTCTGTACAACAGCAACACACAAAATAAATCAATAGATCAATACTGATAGTGGAGAGAGGGAAGAGAGACTTCATGCTTTCTGGGTGACTGAAAACAGCTGGAAGATGAAAGCCTGCAGCGACGATGCAAGAATATGAAAACAAACATGAAGATAAAAGCTGAAGTCCGACAGAAGAGGCTGCAGGATTACACGCGCAACAGGAAGTGGAGGAACTAGAAATGAGGTCAGAGAAAAACGGTCAGACGATCAGAAGACATCAGGAGAGCAGACGGTTCGCGTTTCTGTCAATAATAATAAACCTCTTTGGAGACGTGATTCAGACACGAATAGATGAAGAAATGGAGATGTAGGAATGGAAAGAGTTCAGGTAAAAGCAGAGGAAGCGACAAAGAAACGAGCTCTGATGAAAAATGTTCTCAGATGTCTCCGGTAAACCAGAAATGGTCATCCAATCAGAAGACAGGATTTAAGTCTAATAACTTTTCTAATATCTTTATAATTATATAAGTACTGCAGGAGAAAACTCACTAATCAGCAGTGTTGGGAGTAACGCGGTACAAAAGTAATTAATTACTGTAATGCATTGCTTTTTGCTGTAATGCGGTAATGTAAGGCATTACAGGGAAAGAAAATGGTAATATTTACTCGGTACAAGTGTCAGTAACGCGGTAATTACAACGCATTTTTAAACCCAGGATCGAGATGTGGGTTTCCTAAAAATTCAAATTGCGGGAAGCCTGAAAAAAGATCCAGTATCTACATATATGACGTCATTTATGGACTCAGCTTTGCGGGCGTTCTATGAGCAGAGAGGACGCAGCGGTAACGGCTCAAATACTCCAGCTGCGTCCTGCGCGCGGCTGCTGTTATATTCACAAAATCGCTCCACCAAAACTCGTTTATATCAGCCCATATTCTCTGGTACTTCATGTACTTTTCAGCTGAGTTCATAATCTGTGCCCCAGGGATTTCAACTCATTGCTGCTGGAGCGCAGCGCATATTAAGCTTTTTTTTTTTTTTTTTTGCGTTCGGTAGATCCCTTTGGCTGATTATAGAAAGTAGGAAATCTAGGAAACAGTTTTTCTGGAAGACGGTGAAAACATGCAGCATGCAGGAAGGTCAGAGAGAGAAAGGGCCGGAAATTATTCAAATAAAATCAAGAAAACAAAACAAAGTGCTTGAAAAGAAAAAAGTGGGTAGATTTATCCCCAATACACACGTTTACCAGTGAAAAGCAATAATATATAACCATTTAATATTTAAACATGTGATAGAATCAGATCACCCCAGAAGTCAGTCCCACATCCAGGGCCGTATCAAGGCATTTGGGGACCAAGGCAAATATAGGCTTGGAGCCCCCACCACCTCACTCCCTGCTCAGATGGCCCTATAAGATGGCAGCGTGCTGAGAGTACAGATTGTTGTTGCTTTTTTTTAATAAACAATAATTTTAAAGCACTGTTATTATATCTGACTGTTTTTAACAGCAATCCTAGCTCAGACACCACATCACCTTCCGCATATATGTCATGAGCTCACTGAGCGTCACATGACCAGATTCACACTGAAGTTGTTCTGGTGAAAGTAACTTAAAGTAATGCAAAAGTAGTGTAATGCCTTACATTTTAAAATCAGTAACATTGTAATGTAATGAATTACTTTAAAATGAGGGTAACAAGTAATAAATAATGCATCACAGTTTTGAAGTAACTTGCCCAACACTGCTAATCAGCATCCAGAGCTCCACCTCTAACAGGACTTATGAGGAGAACCTTAATCTGCCCTCTGGTGGAGGATCAGAATACTGCAGGTGGTCAGAACAACTGAGATGTGGTTTATGATTACTGTACACTAACGTTGTTGTTGTTTATGTGCTTAGCAGACGCTTTTTCCCAAAGCGACTTACAATTTTATTTATTTTTTTAACCTATAGGGCATGTTGTGATCTGTGGGGGAAACCGGAGTACCCGGAGAAAACCCAGGATCAGACATGCTGGTTACTTAAACGTATCCACAGACAAAGAGTTAAAGACCAAGTTTAAACAGGTCAGCTCATGTGTCTGCGTGTAAGTTCAGGATATGCAGAAAACTCAGAACTAATCAAAGTGTTTAGCTATGATGCTACTCTAATTATGCATCGTGTCATTACGATGATTTTTCACTCTCGGCTACTTTCTCAGACAAACACTGTTTTATGTGCTCCTCAGACCTCACGGTGGAGATGGCAGAACGTTCAGAACGGAGAGCATTAGCATTGCGCAGTCACAAAGTTTCCTTCTTTCATTTTAAGTCCTAAAATATCACCGATGCACCAAAAAAAGAACAGAAGGAACGAAAGTGATGAGATGAGCGCCACGATGAGGATGAAACATCTCAGAGGAAAAAAAAAAAAACCAGAAGAAGTTTTTAAACTAGACCTTCTGAGCACCACGGCGTAGAGTTTGGCCCTGACGGTCTGCAGCAGCTCAGAGTTCAGGAAGTTCTGACACAAGCAGAACGTGCACCGGTTACAGGTGCACATGCAGCGCAGCCGGGCGTGGCTGAGGAGACACACACACACACACACACACAGGAACAAAGGGTCACCGTTTAGTTTAGGTGTTTCTTCTGTGGGCGACTTTCACACAAACAAGGAAACTCTTAGATGATAGAAAACAGACACATTTCATTCAGACACGTAAACCAAACCCTTCCCCATCAGTTGCTGCCTCTTGTGTTTGTGAAGTGTGATGTGAGGCGGAGCTGGTTTGAGTTCTGCCGGGCTGCTGAGGAGCGAGCTGCTGAACAGCAGGACACCCCTAGATCCACACATCCAACACCTGTGGCGTCTGACTAAAGGTTGGTTTATGCTTGACGAGTCCGCGAGGTCCGCACGGCTCCGCGCGGAAAAGTTGCGTCATTTTAACAACCACGCCCCTCCACTGCACCTCCGCACGGCCCAGAATTTCCGAAACGCGCACCTCGAAAAATTTCTAACCACGCGGGCGGACGGACATGGAAAAACATGGCTGACCAGCAAGAACTAGTATGGCAGAGGTTCGTAAATACAGACATTTGTATGATTCAGCTCTCAGAGATCACCGTGATCACCATGTTGTTAATAATTCTTGGAGAGAAATAGCTCGCACTGTCGGAAAAGACAAGGACGCTGTTAAAAATGCTGGAATGTCATGTTGTAAACAGTAATTTCTACTTCTACTATGGTGTAGTGTTGGATGCATGCCGTAGAGCTCCATGCTGCCCCCTACAGTTTGGGAGAATATTGGCTCACCGCAGAGACGAGCCGCATGAACCATAAACGCTGCGAGTTGTGAAGCGCGTTCCATCCGCGAGCCGCATCACCGCGCGGAAAGTGAATGCGTCAAGCATAAACCAAGCTTTAGAGCAACCTGCCCAAACAGGGTGGTCATCCAGATGTCCACTAAACTGGAACTAAACTGGTTGGTGAGGAGACTTTCCTCTCACCCTCGGCTCCTCGCAGAGTCACTATGGAGCTGGTTGGAGTTGGGTCATCTCAACCCATAGCTGCTGCGTATTCTCTCTGGATTTTATACCACTCTGTCTCGCACCTTTTTTCAGAATAAAAGATCTAAATTAGGGCTGCACAATATATCGAAAAATTATCGCCATCGCGATAACAGGACGTGCGATAGGCCCATCGCAAAACACGGCAAAAACAGCGATGAATGTTTGGTTCAAACATTTCCATCCGTGTCATACATCAACTTTTTGTAAACCAGCTCTGTTTTTTACACGGAAGTATTATTTGACCAATCAAATGTAGCCCTTCTGATATGCGACCAATCAGATGGGTCCGTTCACGTAATACGCCCGCCCCCTACGTAGACCCTTACCCCAAAATTCCACTATCTCCGCTCCGCCCCCGCTTTCCACTGCCGCTCGCTTCCCTTGTTCGTCATGCTGGCTCAGATTAACGAACGCACTTTGTGCTGATGTTTCTGGAATCAGCGCTGCTTTCAAACGTGAACGTGACTCCGCTCGGTGTCGTTAATCATTTTTACCGGGCTGACTCCGACACGTGCCGGTGAACCAACCCACCTTCATGTCGCTTGTGTTAGCCCCAGGCTCCGGTTAGCTTCCAGCTAAAAGGCTACAGCACTCTCCTCCCAGTCCCACCCTGCTAAAGAGGGCCTGGAAACGTTCCCCCACACATCAAAGTGATTTTTCATTTCAGAGCTTTTATAACCTTGTTACTCAGGATAGTTGATTTGCTGCTGCACATAAACTGTCAGACAGAAGCTCTGCTAGCCGGTTATCTTAGTTCAATTTGTTAGCTTGTTATCAGAATCATAGTTGCAGTTTCATCATCTGAGCTGCTTTTTAAGATCTAGCTAAACTTGTTCAATTTGGGGTTAAAAACAAACGTTTTCACATATTTTCCATGTAGTTTTTTTTGCCAGTTCCTCTTCTGAAAGGTAGACAATTGTTTTTCCCTTTACCTCAGAAAATCTTAATATTCTCCTAGTTTGGCCCAGCACAGTTCACTTCCCAATAGCAGCAACAGCCTTATATCATAACCACATAAGTGGAGAAAATGTTCAGTAGCATTGAGAGAATTTGCTGTTGCATTTAAGTGATGTTAACTATTATTTAACATTTAAACTTATTTTCTGATTTTTTTTATCTATTCAAAAACCCTGGTAAGGGATGTTTTTGTGTATTTGGAGCATCAGAAAAAGTTTTATGGTGGAGGTGATGTTTTAACGTCACTGAGAAACTGCATGCATGCAGTTTGTTGTTTTGCTGCTAATACAGTAGCAGGTGCAGCTGCTAATACAGTAGCAGGCGCAGCTGCTAATGCAGTAGCAGGCGCAGCTGCTAATGCAGTAGCAGGCGCAGCTGCTAATGCAGTAGCAGGCGCAGCTGCTAATGCAGTAGCAGGCGCAGCTGCTAATGCAGTAGCAGGCGCAGCTGCTATTGCAGTAGCAGGCGCAGCTGCTAATGCAGTAGCAGGCGCAGCTGCTAATGCAGTAGCAGGCGCAGCTGCTAATGCAGTAGCAGGCGCAGCTGCTAATGCAGTAGCAGGCGCAGCTGCTAATGCAGTAGCAGGCGCAGCTGCTAATGCAGAAGCAGCTGCAGCTGCTAATGCAGTAGCAGGCGCAGCTGCTAATGCAGTAGCAGGTGCAGCTGCTAATACAGTAGCAGGTGCAGCTGCTAATACAGTAGCAGGCGCAGCTGCTAATGCAGTAGCAGGTGCAGCTGCTAATGCAGTAGCAGGTGCAGCTGCTAATGCAGTAGCAGGCGCAGCTGCTAATGCAGTAGCAGGTGCAGCTGCTAATGCAGTAGCAGCTGCAGCTGCTAATACAGTAGCAGGTGCAGCTGCATATTTTTGCAATAAAAATGTTATGTTGTAATGGAATTCATGCATTAGTTTTTGTTTGCTCTGAACCCAGAGCGGACGTCACACGCCAGACGACATCAACACTGCATACTTTAGTATTTGTTCATTTATCGCGAGTAATATCGATATCGCAATATTAAGCACTGTTATCGAATATCGCAGGTTTTCCTAACATCGTGCAGCCCTAATCTAAATAAAAACTTAGGACCACTAGGTGGACAGAATGAGCCTGCAGGGTTATTTCATTACAGAGCGAACCACAGGTCTGTCCTCTCTGAGGTAAGTCTAAGTGAAAAGTTTGGAAATCCTAATCTGATTGTTCATTTCAATAAGATACAGGCGGATGAGTTTCCTCTGTAGGGCTCAGCCATGGAGACGGCGGCAGGGTTAGGGAGCTCAGACATCCACGAGGGACTTGGATGAGGGCAGCTGTTTGGCAGTTTCATTATTTTAGCCATGCAGCTGTGATGTTTGCATACGTACGGGTACATGGCCATAGTGGTCAGTTTGGTGTAGATGTCCCTGCTGGGTTCTGCTGCTATGTTACAGGTGAACGTCTGCGGAGGTGGCATCTTGTTCCTCCTGCAGAACTCTAGAGGACTGCAGCCGTACGCCTGTTTGACCTCCGGCAGGTCGGACTTGGCTGCGATCATCATGCACGGCGTCCTGCTGTCCGTGAAGTATTCCTGAGGGAGACAGAATCTATAAGGTCTTCTGTGCAGACTTCCACAGCAAAGGACTCGGCTGTACCTTAAACACTTTGGTGCAGTATTCAAAGGAGTACGGGTTGCTGACATCATAAACCAAGCAGACCACATCGCAGGCCAGGTCAGCGTCCGTCAGGTAGTCAAAGTCTGGGAAAACTTCATGAAGCTGCAGAGGAGAGGACGCTCCGTCATTCACATGGAACATTTCCTCAAACTCTGAGAGAAACCCCAACACCATCCTGCCCTGACCATACGTGTCCACAGTTATGGGCTCGACACACGGGAGGCGACATCGCCTCTCCTCCATTCATTTTCAATAAGACATGCACGACAAAGCGATTATCGCGGGTCTCCCTCCTACCAAGCGAAACGCAAAAAACGTGCGTGTGAAATTTTGCGCTCGTGCACGTGTCGTGCACAGGCGACCCAGCGACGCGATCCCAGAAAGTTGAAACATTTTCAACTTTTCATCGCTGTCGCTCGGACAAGGACCAATCAACGGAGGTTTCATTCACTGACCAATGAGCGGACAGGATGCTCCGTACACCTCCGAGCAAACATGGAGGAGAAGTTGATTATTATTATGTTTTATAGTAAAATCAGAAGTAAGATTTCACATAACTCTAGCAGCACCTTGTGAAACATCATATCTACCGCTTTTTAAACTCTGAACCACTTAAATAACCTTAATTCCCTCCAACCTGACACAGCCAAGCAAAACAACGGAAGTTTCGATTTCGCCATGGAACGGAACGCGTAGACGGCTTTGCCGCTGGTTGCTGCCGCGAATCGCCTCCCGTGTGTCAGGTAATAAAAGCGACTGCGACAAATTTCGCTGATCGCGGTCGTTTGTCGCCTCCCGTGTGTCGAGCCCATTAAAGGCGCATTAGGTAAGAGTGACATCTTGTGGTCACATTTGGGTACTGCAGTCCATTTGTTTTGACCCGGGTGTAGATGGGCGTGACGTAGGCTCCCTATTGGCTGAAGTATTTAGACAAATACAAGAAGACCACCTCATTATTTATTTATTTTATGTGGCGTCATGAAGGGACTGTTTTCCTTTCTCCTCAGGAAGAACTTATCTTCGTGAGATATGGCTCAAGGCCTTTGATGCCTCTGCATCTAAACTGTTTTAACTAGCTATCTGCCTCCCCCTACGGCTCAAAAGAAGAAAGAAGACCAAGAACTCTTTTCTCTATTAAATAATGATCAAATTCCTTTGTTAGTCCAAATAATCATGTGAAGCTCAATGTTAAATCAATCTGTGAAACGACAATATTAATTACTTGATATTATAATCCTATGATAGTATTTTAATAAATAATATAACTTTAAACTACACACCAGACTGATTACATGTAATGTTAAAATCACATGACGCGTTCCTTTGTCTCTCCAATCAGAGCTTTCCTTTCTGACGCATGGCGTGATCTGTGAGGTGTTTATATTTGTTGTCCAATTCTGATTCGACCATAAATTAAAACATCTGGATTATAAAACTAACTACCACGTCACTCTTAACCCAGTTCCAACATTCTAGAGTTGCGAGCCGGCCACTCGTAACCTTTTAACCACAAAGAACCTAACGACAAGCTGGAATATAAACATGTTGTAAGCTACACCTGACGCAACGCTCCTTCAGCGTTAAAGCTGAACTCACCGACCCTTCAGGGTCCCACTGACGCTGTCAAACACCTGTCACTTACCTGGAGGCAATCCCAAGACTAGTCTGTCATACCGTACGCTGTTTCACCGGTTTCTGTACCAAAGCGGGGTCCGAGAACCTGAATTCTGGATCTACAACGGAGGTCTCTGCAAGGGTATGTAGCACGGCAAGATAGCGTCTGAATGTGGATTTTGAAACTCCGACTGTAGTTTAGAGCAAAACATTCGCTCCCACACAGAACTAACGCTTCACCGGAAACGAGAGTTCTGATAACAACATTCCACATTTACACCATCCATCTTGCCTCATTCACGCCTAGATCCATTCATCACATAGAGTGTTAAGAGTTAGTCAGCCTTGTTTTAAATTGTTTAGAAATAAATCTTCATAAACTTTAAAACTTGTCTCTCTCTCTTTTGACTCTGGGTTACTACGAAGTGTTACCTAATGCCTGCAATAAAAAGTTCCGATCTTCTGATTAATGGTAGTTTTCAAAGATACATGAAATTGATTCCATATTTTCTACGGAATCTCACCTTTGATGGTTTCCTACGTAAGATGCAACTATTGATCCACTACATTTATATTCATAACTATAGTTAGGACTAGGGATGGGTACCGAATTCGGTACTTTTTAAGGTGCCGACCGAATTCCATAGTACCGACCGAGCACCGATTCACGTCATTTCAAACGGTGCCTCGTTTCGGTACCCGTCCTTCACAACGAGAACTTGCCTAGACAGCTGCGCATGCGCAAGAGCGTTATGTCATCGGTCGCTGCGAACCAGTTGTAAACAGAGCAGCATGGTAGAAAGAACGCACGCTAACACTTGGGTCCACTTCACTAAATGTGATGGGTAACTGGGTGATGATGAAACCAGCGACAACGATCTAAGTGAGACATCCTCATCTTAATCTGCTCCGGTAGGTAAATAAAATGTTTAAGATAATGTTAGCTTCATATGTTAGCTTCCGTTTCACTAATGGTGCGTTCGCTTTCTCCTCGGAACTCCGAAATTCCGACTAGAAGAACATGAACGCGCTCTAAAGTTCGGCTTCACTTTACTAAATGCGACGGGTGATTGGGTGAAGACGAAACCAGCAACAACGATCTAAGTGTGAGGCATCATCGTTTTAATCTGCTCCAGCAGCAAAATAAACTGTTTAAGCTAACGTTAGCTTGATATGTTAGCTTCCTATGCCACCATTGTTATCATCTAATGGTGCGTTCGCTTTCTCCTCGGAAATTCTAACTTCCCAGTAGGAAAAATCAAATGAAAAAAGACGGCAAAAGGAATGAAGATACACAGTAAATTTAGTTCACAGTAAAGATGTTTGCTTCAGTTTAATTATCAGCTTATAAAACTACAAGGACGATGTTAAAATACAAACAGTTGTATGTTATTTATCGTGATATTTTTCAAATATGGTTCTATATTGAGAAAAATATATATTTAATTATAAAAGAGAATTAAAATATTAAACACTCAAAAGTATCGAAAATTGGTACCGTTAAGTACCGGTATCGATTCGTAGGTACCGGGAATTAGTACCGGATCAATTCAAATGTCAAAGGTACCCATCCCTAGTTAGGACGTTGCTAAGGGAACAAAAAATGTTTTAAGCTAGCTTGTTCTGTTGATTTGTAGCTTTCAGTCACCATGATGAGCTCATTTAACCACAAACTGAAAACCCAACCCCCGACATGCACAAAGCTGAAGTTTGGAAAACAGTGAATGTTGTTTAGAGGCTCTAAAAAGGAGCTTTATTTCAGGAGTATTTTAAATATACCCAGTAGTATCTCTCGTATTACAACGTAAGAAGTAAAAAGGTTTAAGTACTCACTAGAAGGTACTTCTCCTGCGCGTAAACGTACGTGGTACTGATGGCGTAGTAGGATCTGTGCTCCTCTTTAATCGTCTTTTGTCGCTGAGAGGACAGAGGAGAGTATTGTGTCAAAGGTGGCAACATTCCCAGTTGGATGACAACAGTAAATACCGGATGCGTCTGGATCCGACAGAGCAGATCTGGAGAATGAAGCAGCCATAGGTGGGGGTTGATGGGAGGTCGGCGTGGAGCTGACACGCGCTCCACCGACACAAACACGTTCGGTTAGTTGAAACACAGCCGGTACCAGCAGCTCAGAGCTGGACGGGAGTCAAACCTCTAAGTAGGCACCCGTTTACGTAAACCGACCCATTAAATAGTTCAGTTTGATTGGGTGGTCCGATTCTCCATTTCATAGTTTTGATATAAAATAGAAAATATGAAAAACCTTTTTTTTGCTTCTGATTCAAAACCAAATAATGAAAAACAACCCTTCTTCCATCTTTTGATTTTTAATTAAAAATGGAAAGAATGAACAACACATGGCTCGTCGGTGCTTCCCTACCAAACCCCAGTATCAGTACCCTCACCTGTCGCATCGCCGGTGGACGCCAGCGCCGCTCTACTGGACTTCCATCCTTGGATCGCTGGCAGCACGATATTCCAGGAACATCCCATAAAACCCGTAGCGGTGAGGCTGTTCTGACCCAGTCATCCGGACATAAACACATGTCCTGGTCGGAGTTTTGATCCCAAGGTTTGGCCACTCTTCCAGCTCACAGCTAAACCACCAGGAGAACTGGCTGTGTCCCGATTTAGCTCAGGTCTTGACCGGTGCGTTGTAATGAGATCATCGGTGCTAATCCCTTTACCACTCAGTGGCTTTAAAGTGTTGTGACTGCTGTGTGTATTCTTTCTCCCGTTAGCTTGTTGTTGTGTTATTCCTGCTCACCGTCAGGTTTCTGCCCAGGAAGGCCTGCAGGAAGCCGCTCTTCCCACTGGCCACGTCTCCAAAGACGTTGCAGCGGAACACGTTTCTCTGGGTCTGCTTCTTCTGCAGGTCAATCTTCCTATCTCTGGTCACTGTAGGGACACACACACACACACACACACACACACACACACACACACACACCAGCATCAGAGAGTGGGCTAAGGCTGTTGCCTGCAGATAGTAACTTTCCACCTTTACAGAGAAAACTAAATTCTTTGCATCGACAGAAAACCCATAAGAATAAAACCTGCCTGTGAAGCCTGCAGCCTGGGACTCCTGTTCAGCAATGATTGAGTAACCAAGGTAACCTAAATACTCCAGGCACCGCTGGACGTCCAGGTAAGTGGTCAACCTTAAAACAGCAAACAACGAAACTCAAAAACCAGCCAGTACTGGGTTAGTTTTAGATTTAGGAGCTCTTGTGACGTCAGAATAAAATAAAAGCGTGCTTTTGTTCTCACAGCCATTTATTAAATACCTGCAACCGGATTAAAAACAATCAGACGTAACCCAGAATGCTTCAGCGTCATGCCCACTACTCACGTCCACTGTGACAGGTAACCCTGGTAGGTGATCCAGCCCTGATCGTTGGTGCAAACCGTGTTATTAACATCGGCGCCCCAGGGCATGTAGGGAAAAACATCAAACAGGTCCTGCAGCTCCTCAGGAGACAAGGCACAGTCACGGTCCTGAAGGACGACAGAAGAGGTGGGGGTCATGGAGAACTAAAAAGATCTAAATAAGCTCCAGCGTCTTTTAGGTCCGGGGTGTTCTTTACCAGGACACGAGGAAATGATCTGGCCTTCAGCAGGTCCTGAAACTATTCACATCTAACCTCCAGTGAACACGACGCTTGAATCAAGTTCTGGACTTTGACTGGACCATCGCAGAACCTTGATTCTGAGGCAGCTCTGCTGTGCTTGGATCATGGTCCTGTTTCATGACCCAGTTTGGTCCAAACTCCAGCTGTCAGACAGATGGACTCACACCTGGCGCTAGAACACTTTGGTCTACAGATGAGTTCATGGCGGACTCGATGAGTGTAGGAACCCACACCATCAGCCCTCCTCCGCCGTGCTGACAGCTGGGAGCAGCTGTTTCAGCCGATGTGATGTTTGGTTTTCTCCAAACATGGAGCAGTGCATTATGGGTAGGGATGGGTACCGAATTCGGTACTTTTTAAGGTACCGACCGAATTCCATAGTACCGACCGAGCACCGATTCACTTCATTTGAAACGGTGCCTCGTTTCGGTACCCGTCCTTCACAACGAGAACTTGCCAAGACAGCTGCGCATGCGTAAGAGCGTTATGTCGTCGCTCGCTGTGAGCCAGTTGTAAACAGAGCAGCATGGTAGAAAGAACGCACGCTAAAGCTTGGGTCCACTTCACTAAATGTGATGGGTAACTGGGTGATGATGAAACCAGCGAAAACGATCTAAGTGAGACATCCTCATCTTAATCTGCTCCGGTAGGTAAATAAAATGTTTAAGATAACGTTAGCTTGATATGTTAGCTTCCGTTTCGCTAATGGTGCGTTCGCTTTCTCCTCGGAACTCCGAAATTCCGACTAGAAGAACATGAACGCGCTCTAAAGTTTGGCTTCACTTTACTAAATGCGACGGGTGATTGGGTGAAGATGAAACCAGCGACAACGATCTAAGTGTGAGGCATCATCGTTTTAATCTGCTCCAGCAGCTAAATAAACTGTTAAAGATAACGCTAGCTTGATATGTTAGCTTCCATTGCTACCATTGTTATCAGCTAATGGTGTGTTCGCTTTCTCCTCGGAAATTCTAACTTCCCAGTAGGAAAAATCAAATGAAAAAGGACGGCAAAAGGAATGAAGATACACAGTAAATTTAGTTCACAGTAAAGATGTTTGCTTCAGTTTAATTATCAGCTTATAAAACTACAAGGACGATGTTAAAATACAAACAGTTGAATGTTATTTATCGTGATATTTATCAAATATTGTTATATATTGAGAAAAATATATATCTAATTATAAAAGAGAATTAAAATATTAAACACTCAAAAGTATCGAAAATTGGTACCGTTAAGTACCGGTATCGATTCCTAGGTACCGGGAATTAGTACCGGATCGATTCAGATGTCAAAGGTACCCATCCCTAATTATGGGTGACTTCTCTAGATTGGTCTCATCTGCTCCAGAAGTCTTCGTTCGTTCAGACAAAACAATCCACAGTCAGGCTTTTTGTTACCAACGGGTTTTTCTCCAGTAACTTTCTCTAATCCATCCATCATGAACGTTAACCTTTAACCTGCTAACCGAGCCTGTGGCATATAGGATGGGGCTCTTCTCTGAGCGTTGACCTCTGACCTGGATGTGGGATCCCCCACTAGGAGGACTCACAGCTGGCTGACACGTTTCCCAGAATAAGAGGAAACATCCGTTTCTTCTCTGGGGTCATTGTTGACGTCTTTCCTTCTGGGTGCTGTGTTAACGCACGCCTGTATGCTCCAGAGCAGCAGAGGCTCCTGCTGTAGAGGGTCCGATCAGCAGGTTCTGGGTGATCCTGAAACCCCCAGGATGGACTTTCACACTTCTGGTGTGAAACACCAAGGCGGTTAGAACAGATTATTATAGAACTGGAAGAAGATCAGATCAATTTTATTAAGTTCTGGTCTGTGAAACCTTCATTTGTTGGAAAAATAAACAATTCCTCAGAAACCAAAGTTGACATCAGAAAGTGACCACAACAGACGGATCTGGCACAAGTGGTAACTTTCTCAGACTTTCCTTCCTAATCCAGCAGCTTAGTCTCTGGTAAATCTCTCCTCCGTGCCGACAGGTTAAACCGCGCCTCAGCGGGGGGGCGACGCTGGCAGTGAGAGTGTATTTTGGTGTGTATTACTGGTGCTGAGCAGCTTCTAGCAGGTGTCCCGTCAGGCCAGAGGCTAAAGTAAACACGGAGTCGACTCCCAGGGGAGTACCTTGTCGTGCTTGTCAAAGACGCTCTGCAGGAAGAGGTAGGCGTTGTGGTTGAGCTCAGTGCTGCAGTCTGGAGGGACTTTCAACCTGAAGAGAAGAAGATGTCCAAATCTGCCGTCATATTCTCATACACACACACACACACACACACACACACACACACACACACGCAAGGTCAGAGGTGCCTGAGCCAGGCTCACCCAGGAAAGAGGTAGTCCTGATTTAACTCCAGGTCATCGTCGTATCCAAACCTCCTCAGAACCGTCCACGTGGTTTCATGGCGCCCTCGCTGGATGAACAGAGTGTGGAGGAACAGGAAGCCTGAAGAGGAGCCACACAGAGACCAGACCAGCTCAGTCAGATAAACTAGAGGCAGTTCTTCTGCTAAACTAGAACACAGGAAGGTGGGAGAAGCTCCTGCCTTTTAGAGTCAGTCCGTTATTGAGCACGCCGTCCATCGTGTTCTTCCTCACCACGTTTTTCACGTCCTCTAAAGCGTGAGGCTCCAGAGGCGTGTTGAAGCAGATCCGCTATCAGAGCGAAACCAGATGATTTCTTATTAAAGGCCCAGCAGTGCATCACCCTCTGCTTTTCTCAGCAGCGTTCGTAACCCTCATCATTCCTATGTTCAGAAGCAAAGGAGCTTTGTTAAAGTTAAAGTCCCACTAGTTGTCACACACACAGGTGTGTGCGCGAAATTTGTTCTCCGCATTTGGCCCATCCCCTGGGGGAGCGGTGAGCTGCAGACACAGCCGCGCTCGGGAACCATTTGGTGGTTTAACCCCCCAATCCAACCCCTTAATGCTGAGTGTCAAGCAGGGAGGCATTTGGGTCCCATTTTTTCAAAGTCTTTGGTATGACCCGACCAGGAATCGAACTAGGGCTGCAACAAACGATTATTTGGATAATCGATTAATCGGATGGGGTCTCGACACGATTAATCGATTAATCGGATTACATGGGGAAATTTTTAAAAACTGCTAGGGAAACGTTATTTCTCTCCTTCCTTCACTTTATTTAACACAACATTATTAGAAAACAGTTCAATAGCAGAAAAACAACATGCCATCACCTAAATTGTCTTATAAGGTGTATAGACAGAGACCCTAAGCTACATCTATCTGTGACCTAAAATGCTTGGTCCAAGTTAAACAGCTTAAGGGCAATTCTCATCTGTTTTGTTTGATCTCATCTGTTGACATATATTTTAAATGTAATTAAACATAGGCTGTGAATTAATCAAAATTGATCACTATTTCCAAAAATGACTGAAAAAATACCAAATAAAACAAAAGTAAATGAATGCCATCCTCCTTGCGATGATGCCCTGGGCAACTGCCATAAAGTCACATCAAGAAATGCTGCTGATCATTCCAATGATCCCAAATAGACTCACATTAGGCCACATGAAAGCAACTGAACCCAAAAATATATTAACCAGTATATAACTGCACTCTCACACAACACGCCTGCAGCAACAGTTAGGACTCCTCCCTCCCTTTTAAAAGCGTTTTTGCTTCTGAGGACATTGTGGTTGTAAAGCCACACGCTAGTAGTCTGGCCCCGGTGTGATCAACCAGTTTCTGCGGGAATGTGACGGCGGAACCAGGGCCAGATTAACACTTTGTTGTACCCTGGGCAACAATATTCAAGGGCTCCATCATCACGACCCGAGGATCACCATAATGTGGTCACATACAGAATATTTTACTGTAATATGCAGTAAATATACTCAATACTTGAATGCCTGACAACACGTAACCCGCCCAGAGTAACCTTTGACCCACCTCGTGTGGACTGACCAATGAGGAGAGGGTCTTAACTTGAGGCCCTCTCTTCAATGGTCATTCTGCATGAGACTGACTCTCAACTGACGTTCAGTCATAGGCAGCGAAGCGTCTCTGTGCAGTGCAAAAGCCCGGGTGGACAGTTTGTTTAATATAGGGTGATCATATTTCCATTTCCAAACAAGAGGACAGGGGATCTGTGCCTATGACGTCACACTATGGCAACGCCACACAAACCATGTTGGGACCCATTTTTTGTAAGAACTAAATTAATATCAGATTCTGCCAATTAAAGGGCTCTAAAACAATTCATATGTAAATATTTTGCATATTTAATGCAAAATCTCATTTTTATGCTTTAGTGCTGCAATAAGGTTTTATTAATAATAAATTATTATACCTTTTGTTTTACTACAGCATCGGTAAGCTTCCTGTGCACAGATTATTAAGGATGCTTGTTTCAGCTGTGAGATTAGACGATACGATCAATGAAAAAATAAGTTGTCACACACTCCATGGAAACTTTCAGAGAATCCACAAATAGTGGCTTTCAAATGGTTTTGTTACTTTTTGCAAGTTTTTAAAAGAAGCAGATGAGACAGCATGTCTGATAAGTTAGTTTTTCATCTGATAATATTAGAGCATGTCAGTAATGTCTGAGGGGCTTTTATAAACACCATATAACTAACACTACTGGAGAGGGCATGAATTACACAGAGGCTTCTGGGGAGCCCAGTTATTGGGGGGGGGGGGGGGGGGGGTCATTTTGCCTTGGCCCCCAAAATGTCTTGAAACGGCCCTGGGTGTGTGACTGAGTTTTGAAGGTGATCTGAATTGTATCAGATGTATAAATATGACATGTGTATAACTTATTGTTTTTTACTGGTAAAAACGTGTCGTGGAGATAAATCTACCTACATTTTACTTTTCAACACTTTGTTTTCAGCGCTTTGTTTCACTTTCAGCGCTTTGGGCTTCCTGACAGGGTTGCGGAAGGCGCTTTATAAATAAAGCTTTGATTGATTGATTGATTGATTGATTGTTTTTTTGTTTTTATTGAACTATTTTCCTGTCCTGTCTGTCTCTCATCTTCCTGCATCTCCTCTTAATTCTCCAGAAAATCTGTTGCCTGGATTCTTACCTTTTCACCTCATCAGTTACTTTTGAGCAGATCAAAGGGATCTCCTGACCGAAAAGCGCAGAGCGTGTTTTCGATGCTGCGTGAGGTGACATCACCACAGCACAGGTGATGAGCTCCGCAGTAGCGAGCTTCAGGCACAAATAAGACAGAAAATAGAGAACATGTGCAGACAAGAACGATCGTGTGCTAATTATAGTTTTTTGGTTGCGCCACTTTGAGAATGGACCGTGCGCTGGAAGCAGCTGCCTGGATCGCTGCACAACAATGTGGAACCGGTTTGCAGCAGCGCAAGTCTGCCGGCTCTCCCTCGCGCTGATCTGCGGCTCTCCCTCGCGCTGATCTGCGGCTCTCCCTTGCGCTGATCTGCGGCTCTCCCTCGCGCTGATCTGCCGGCTCTCCCTCGCGCTGATCTGCGGCTCTCCCTCGCGCTGATCTGCGGCTCTCCCTCGCGCTGATCTGCGGCTCTCACTCGCGCTGATCTGCGGCTCTCCCTCGTGCTGATCTGACTTGCTCTGGTCTGCGCGCAACGGCGGGCGGGATTCGGGAGGGGGGGGGGGCGCTTTTGGAAGAGTTGTGCGACACAACGAATCGATGACGCAATTCGTTGCCAACGCTTTTAGTAATCGATTTTCATCGAATTTATCGATTCGTTGTTGCAGCCCTAAATCGAACCCCTGATCTCCCAGTCTCAGGGCGGACACGCTACCACTAGACCACTGAGAAAGGTTACTTTGGCTGCGTTGCTCACACCTCAACACAGATGACATCATCACATAATCCCACAATCATTGTAATCTAACCTTTATTTAACCAGGCGAGTCGACTGAGAGCTCGTTCTCGTTCACAGCGACGACGTGGCCAAGAGGCAGCAGATCGTTTGTTAGCGGAGTGACCAAGGCCCGGTTCACACGGCAGGACTCTAAGATGCAATGGCGGTTTTAAACAGGGGCCCACAGGGGCCTTGGCCCCTATAGAATGGCCCTGGCCCCTGTTATGGCCCCTGTGCTGAAGAGATCAGATTTTTTTTCCCCGCGCTGCCTCGGAGACGGGAACTAATGCGCTGCAGCGTTTCAAACGGAGCCTTTAGAGCGCAGCACACTCTGTGGACAGAACTGTTTACCCGGTGGATTTTTGAATAAAAGATTAAAAATAGTTTAAATGGGACCCAAAGAAATTCTTGAGGACGACTAACGGAAAAGACGCTGAGAGACAAAGACAAGCAATACAGTTTATTTTCCTGACATCAATTAAAATCCTTTTGGCAAAATTGTGCACAAGCACAAAATTTGTCATATGGCGACGACAAAAAAGAATTTTGATATTGCACTAATTTTTCCCTTTTTTTCTTGCGCCCCCATGAAAAAATACTGGCCCCACTGTGGCCCCCCTGGAAAATTTGGCCTAGAACCGCCCCTGCTAAGATGATATTTAAAGGGTTCATTTCATGGAAAATCCACGTTTCTGAGCTTTTTGCCACGTGATAGTCACTTCCTCACGAGAAATACCCCCAAACCCATTTTTGGCCGCCTTCAGTTATGTTCCTGTCTCAGCTACAACTTGGGCCATGTAAGGATTTTTCCTGCAAATGGAAGAAAGTAGCCCACATGTGCCAGCAGGCATTTCTCCTCCCCCTGAACCCTGGTCTGGTCCTGGATACTCTGACAAATGACTTCTGCACTGGGGACAAAACCCCGCTGTAAAAACCATACTTCCTGTCTACAAAGACGCACGTTGCACACACGTAATTAGCCGTGCAGATCCGTGAGAGGACGAAGTTTTCCTTTTTACTTTGAGGATTTCTGATGAATGTGTTGAACAGCGACACCGGCGTTCCATTTTTAAAGCATTAGTTCAACTGCCGCGCGTCTGGGAGGATTGTCAGTGCTCCGTTTTGTGGAGACATGCATGAAACACACACATCAGTGGAGCTCCATGCGATGTTCCTATGTTTTCTCTCGCTGCCGTGTGTGTGAGTGTGTGTGTGTGTGTGTGTGTGTTATGGCAGCTTGCTAACAATGTGTGCATTCGTATGTACCGAAGCAGGCGTGTTTGAGGCAGCAGCGTCATGTTCCTGCACCTTACAGCTGTGCTTCGTCACTTCAGAGGCGCGACGCAAAAATCGTTTCTTCTTCTAAAGTAATCTCAAATCTAAAATGGCGTCTGGGACTCTTTTGTGTTACTCATCATTTTCATGTGCGGTCAGTATGATAATTTAGGTCACCAAGCACAATTAGAATCACTGTTGAGTCACTTCAATGACAGTTTCCTTCACAAGGCTAGCTGTTACCATTCACTTACATTGTTTTATGCTAAGCTAAGGCTAAAAGAGTACTGCAGGACTGGGAGAATGACTTGGCTGCTTACAAAAGAAACAACAATCATATAAACAAACAACTAGGGGGATTAATTACACAAATACATGCAAAGTATTACTCGAGGTGAACCGTAAGCTGGACGATGTCCTAGCTGCGTTACCGGTGTTAGTGCGCAAAATGGATGTCATCTTGGAGAGGGTCACCGGACGGTGTGGAGATGTTTAAAACCGAAATCGGCTTCACTAGAGGACTTGAATGATCGGTAACAGACTGAAGGCAGAGAGGAAAATTATCTCTGCCTGACCCAAACAAAGTCTTGTTATCCAAATCTGATATCAAGGCAGCCTTCAAGCTGCTAACAACAACCCCCACGAAAAAAGGAATGCAGACAGATGCTGTGAAAACCCGAGCCCCCGCCTTCGGATTGTGGACTTCTGCCTAGCGTGGTCATCAGCCTGCAGGAATCAATGTGCTCTGCACTCCTCCCAAGATCTCCCTCCCACCTGTGACTACAGTTGGCTGAGCGCCATACAGGGCTGCTCCCGCTGGGGAAACAGGATCCCAGCCCCCCGCCTCCCTATCGGAGTCTCATGTTGTGAACTGTGATGTTCGTGCTTCTATGTTTGAGGCGTTTGTTTGTTTGTTTTTTGCATAGTAAAGCTACGCCCTGTCGGGAGTAACTCTGGTATGCCTTTTTTTCCCTCCCCCAATTTATCCTCATGTAATTCCCTTTTCATCTATTAAGGTAGCGCGACTCGTGCTGCGAATGACCACAGTCATCAATTCTTGTCATGTGTCTTGCCCATGTATGTCTGATCTCTGAATTGTGTGTATTGAAACTCTAATTTCCCTCAGGGATTAATAAAGTTTTGATTGATTGATTGAAAGACTGGAAGCCAACTGTGCTAAGAGCCTTTTGTCAGTGGAGTGCTATTTTTGTCTTAGCTAGGGACAGTTAGCTCAGGCAGCCATCTTGAATTGTATTAGCACCAAAAGTGCATCAACTTCTTGAGTTTGGTCAAAGTTCATCAAGTGGTTCATGAGCTATTTAGCTAACGCTGCAGAGCTAATGACCACGCTTGCTAACAATGCCTGCATTGGAGCTGATCAACGACTTGTTTACCTGGAAGAAGTTGAGTTCGTTATCATTGAGGATTCCGTCGTTGTCCAGGTCCGACACTTTAAAGATCCGAGTCAGAGCTTTCACACAAAGCGGCTTCATCTGAAAATTAAAACACCTCTTCACAAACGAGCGCAGTCACGCTGGATTTAACTAAAAACAAACAGGACGTTTGACTTTGTGGTGTTTAACTCTCTAAAACGTCTCTTCGTGTTGGAGCAGAGGCGTTTTGACGCTTACGTCTTTCTTCTCTGGACAGTAGAGGGGCCCTGTGGGGTGGAGGACAGCTTTTTGGGCGTAATAAAACAGCTCAGAGATGTTCTTCAGATTTCTTGCTGAACACTGAAAATAAGCAAAGAAGACAAAAAAAATGGGTGCAAAATTTTACTACGCACGCTTGTGCAACTGTGTGACCCAGAGTGAAAATTTAGCCGTAGCTCTAAGCAGCTTCCAGACAGAGCATTAAGACGCGGGATCTGTCTGAGCAAAGCTCCTGAAGAAAAAAAACCCTCAGGTGGATCTTTGTTAAGAGAAATCAAGAAGCAGGCTTACAGGAGACGCTCAGCTTCCAGAGAACTGAACTACGGCAGCAAACTAAGGACAAACCAGAGCCTCACCCATTTCCCTCGACACTTGTTAGATTAAAATGGTAAATGGTAAATGGCCTGTATTTGATATAGCGCCTTCTAGAGTCCTGGAACCCCCCAAGGCGCTTTACAACACAATCAGTCATTCACCCATTCACACACACATTCACACACTGGTGGGGATGAGCTACGATGTAGCCACAGCTGCCCTGGGGCGCACTGACAGAGGCGAGGCTGCCGAGCACTGGCGCCACCGGTCCCTCCGACCACCACCAGCAGGCAACGTGGGTTAAGTGTCTTGCCCAAGGACACAACGACAGCGACAGACTGAGCGGGACTCGAACCAGCAACCTTCCGATTACGGGGCGAGCACTTAACTCCTGTGCCACTGTCGCCCACAGATTAAGGTTTATCTGGATCTTTTTAGTGTATCTGAACCCACATTTGGCTCATAAAGCCAACATTTTCCACCCGTCAGGTTCATTTTAACTCGAGGCAGAAAGAACAAACGGCTGTAGGAAAATGAGGAAGTCGGCTGACGTGTAAGAATCACTAAAACAGACCGACGAGTTCATCTTTAGGATGGGGAGCGCCACATTTTAGTCATTCAAAGTTGAGATAAACACTGACCGACGTGCTTCCAGGAGCTCCTCTGGAGTTCTACGTCTTTATATTCCGATTAGAACTCAACCATAGAAACTAGGGATGCACCGATCAGGTTTTTTGCTGCCGATCACCGATACCGATATCAAAGAATGCTGATCACCGATACCGATATCAAAGAATGCTGATCACCGATACCGATATCAACGAATGCTGATCACCGATACTGATATCAAAGAATGCCGATCACCGATACCGATATCAAAGAATGCTGATCACCGATACCGATATCAACGAATGCTGATCACCGATACCGATATCAAAGAATGCTGATCACCGATACTGATATCAAAGAATGCCGATCACCGATACCGATCACGTGGATTGGCCAGAAATTTTCTACAACATTATAATGAGTGCTACAAACTACATAATCTGGGAATAAAGGAAATGTAACCTAATCTAAAATGGTCGGCTGATCGGTCTGCTTTGATCTATTTTGAAAACTCCGATCAAAACCGATAGGGGCGCTATCGGCCGATTGGGATCAAATGCCGATCCATCGGTGCATCCCTAATAGAAACCTACAAAAATCAGGGATTAAAACCAATAAAATGCATTTCCTGTTTTGGCTCCAGGGCGGTGGTGCAGTCAGTAGCACTGCTGCCTCCCGGCAAGAAGGTCGCAGGTTTGAATCCCGTCTCCCCATGCATGTGCGGGGTTTCTCCGGGAACTCCGGTTCCTTACCACTGACAAAAACATGCATGTTTGTCCCTGCGATGGACTGGAGACACGCCCAGGGTGTCCCCCATCCTCTCACCCGATGACACCAGGTCCTCCATACAACCCTACTGGGATATAACCAGGAGGCAAACTCTTCTCACACTCAAACACCCGTTTGAAGAAGGAGAAATAATAAGAATTTTTTTTGTTTTGATGTTGTTGTTTGTATTTGATTACATCTGAGTTTGTGTGTGGACAGTCGCACAACCTCCTTACCTCCACACAAGTCTCTATCTCACTGTGCTGGTTCATAATGGGCAGAATGGTCTCCATGCTGCTGTGTTCCACCAGGTCGGACTTGTTCCCCACCAGGATCAGAGGAACCCTGGGTGGACACAGACACCACCCTAAATACCACACCTATCACACTCACACTCACACACACACACACACACACCTGCTGTCTTTGTCTGTGTTCTCTGTGATCAGGGGGATCCAGTGACTGGTCACCTGCAGCAATAACAAAACATTCTGATTTGTTCCACTTCTTAACTGAAGCATAAATGCATTTTAAAGCTGCTGACGGAGCGGACTCACTTTCTCTATGGATGTCTTGCTGTTGACGGCGTAGACGATGCAAATGACATTTGCCTACAGGAGAGACGCCGATGAGGTCTCAGCTGAAGTCAAACACTTAAACCGACTAAAACCAGACTGACCTTGGAGATCTCCTGGAACAGCTGCTCGTCGGTCTGCTCTGCCTCTGCAGAAGGAACCCAAATATAAAAACTGGGACCAAAAGGAACCAGCGACATTCCCGGTGTGGCTGTTCGGTACCTGAATAGTCCACTATGTGTGTGGGAACTTTTTCTGGAGTGACATCTGCAGGGATCGTGATCTCCTCCACTCGATAAGGAACCTGAGAGGAACATGTGGCTCACAAGGTTTCAATGAAGCACAGTTGTGGATGTGAAGGTCCTGCTGCTGTAATGAAAATGTGCTCGTACCACATCTGGGAACTCCTCGCTGACCAGGGACATGATGAGAGACGTCTTCCCCACCTTGGCTGAAGACGGAACGTTACAGTTTAGTGGTAGAAAGCTGTTTGCGTGTTTTGTTTGTGGTTTATTGTCATTCAAGGCATTTAAAATCATGAGAAAATGACGTTTTAAGAGAAGAAAAGCTGAAAGAGTCAATAAGAAACACCCTCAGGATCAGAGTTCATCTCATCCTTGATGCTCGGCCTGTTCCAGGACCGGATGGGTGGTGTCCCTCCTGCTTGGTCGTTACTGATCTAATCACACTTTGCTGTCGCTTTGTTGAATTATTTAAAATTGTGTAACTTGTTGTGATAATGAGCTGGGGACCAGGAAACGCTTCAGCCCATTTATGATCAAATGATCGATCCGTCACTGAAATATTTAGTTATGAACTTGGGTTACAACCTCAAACTGCGAATGAGCCACGAGCAGGGGCGCCGTAAAGCGGTGAAAGATTAGGAAGATTCTAAGGGCTCACAGCTGTCAGGGGCCCAAAAATGTTTCAAAGTTGAATAAAAAAAAATAAAGTTTAAATATCACAAGTGCTTTACTTTGCAGTATTTTTTCTCATTTAAGACATTAAACAAACAATATTTTAGTCTTTATGAAATGTATATTTATTCAGAGGTCCCTACTTTATTTTGACTAATTAGTTTGATTGATATTAATTATGGTAAATGGGTTGCTGTCCTTGTCCCTACCAGAATCAGCAGCTGATGATATGTCAGCAGGTGTCCCCTCGCAACCCAATGAACCTCAAGAAGGTGAGCAATGTAGCATGTTAGCTAGCAGCCTCATTTAAGGGGGTCTGTGGGAATCACTTTAGGCTCTCTTCTCTATCAGAACTATTACAAAGGAATATAAAAAGGCAATTTTTGGTGATAAACACATTGTTTTTCCACATAATGATAATTATACATATCAATCAGTAAAAATGTATAGATGGTTTTGGATGCTGGGCAGGTTGAAGCATTGTTATTTAGTCTGTTAATGTAACATTACTGTGAGATTATTACTGTGAAGCACCTTTTTGAAGGCACCATACAAGAAAAAAAAACCCTCTTCATCTACTAAATACCTTGAAATGAAATGTTTCAAATCTGACTGAATTACGGGAGGTTTTACAAGATGTAATTTGTTTATGTAGCTCTTAGAACACAAACCAAAAATCAGTCATTTCCAAATAATTCATCAGAGAGCAAAAATGAAACAAAAGCTATTAATAATTGTAATAAATAAACTTAATATAACATTGAACACAATAAAATATGAAATCTAGCATTGATCGTTATCGAGCATTATTAATTATATCACTGTAAATAATAAATCTTGCTGTGTACAATCAAGGCTGAATATATTTTTAGTTTTTTTTTTGTTGTTGAGAAAAATGGGTTTCTAGAGACTTATATGTGTATTCATGCAAAGTTGTCCAACTTTAAAATGTTATGTAACCCTAACTGACTCCGGTTTGAACTGTGTGCTTATTCATTTTGTGTCTATGATGAAGCCACGGAGACTTAATAAAGAAGTCACCTTGTGAGCAGTGAACCCTTAATTTTTGTCAGTCATACAGAAATACTTGATTTCAAGAGGAAAGACAGCTGAAAATGAAGTTATGTAAAGCTTTGACACAACATGGAAATTTAATTAGATATCCAAATTTTAATTTTATCATCAAATAAAAAATTTAGAATAAATAAACACATTTTAAGGGAGTAAAAGGGAAAAGGAGATTAACACCTTTCAGCATGTGCATTTCCTGCTTTTTCCAGCTGTGATATTGCTAATTCTGTTGAAGGAAATTCACTGTTTAATGAGAGACAGCTGGTGAAAATGATATGTAAATAAGTAAGAATGCATGTAGACCTACATAATTAAGCAAAACTGAAACACTAATATAAAGTATATATATTATATTTTTTTCTCCCTTCGAATCTGGGAGGGTGGAACCCCAGCTCCAGCTATGGACGAGCCCCCAGGGGGCCCATCTTGATATTTTTTCATGGGGCCCAAAATCTCTGGCAGCCCCCCTGGCCACGAGTCTGGATGGCCCATCTGAGATCACAGACACTTACCGAGGACTACTTTAAAGTAAAACAATCCACCCATCTCTGTCCTATGATCGGTCATGACCAAAGGATGAAGAGTCCAGAAAACGGACTTAGGGATGGAGGCAGGCTCCATCTTCACCAGCACACTCGCTCAGCATCGCGTGATGCTGCTCAGCTCATTTTACATCAAGCCATAACAGATGAGAGCAGGACCTGTACTTACGCTCCCCCACCAGTAAGATCCTCACGTCTTTGCGCATCTTCTGTACCGATGTCAGCTAAGCGGACGAGGAGGTTCAACATTTACGTTCCTGCTCCTGGCTGAAGGAAAGAGGCAGCCAGCCCGCCGCGGCCTGCCGCACTCGCTGTCGGCTACGTTCGCATCTCGGCTCCGCTTAGCGAAGGTGAGCGGCTCGTCCCGGTGTTCCTTTACAGGCCGTTCGTGATCCGGAGAGGCGGCTGGACGTTTGTAAAGGTACTTCCTCTCCGCTCAGGTCCTGACTGCAGCTGGTGCGGCGGTGACGGCCACGCAGAGATGGGTTCCAGCTCAGCGGCGCCAGGGGAGAGGCTCCACCGCGTCTCTGCTAGCTACCTCACGCTAAAGCTTGTTTAAACAAACGGTTTTCTTTGGTGGAACGTAAAAACAAAAGCGTCCGCTGCGATGTCAAACGCAAAAACACCGTTAGTAGTGTGAATTTTTGTACGTATTTAGGTGTCTTGAGATGTTTTGATACTGGGAAAAAAATCGAAGTGAGTGTTCTTCTTTTCTTATTTATAAGCCTCTTAGTGTTTAAAACGCACGTCTACGTCGTGCCCCCTGGTGGCCATAAAGCTAACAGCAGCCACTCCAGACCTGGGACAGGTATTTCATACATTTACTTGGTTTATAAATTAAAATATTTTAGAGTATACGAAACAGATAGATTTTTAATGATTTATAAGCATCTTTTATTGGTTGTGTTTATGACTGTACACCACTTTGGTCGACTCTGATTTGATGGGAATCAGTTTTAATGAATTTTATTATTTTCTCTGTTGTGCACAAACAACATGTAATCACCAAGACCCACTTATTTTCCTTTTATTCAATAGAACCTTCTTAGACCACGCTGCCACGTACTGGTTTTTGCATAATATCTCATTCTGTTTAACTTAGACTTGTTCACATTTAGCAAGACTGGTTTTAAGATATAATTTGTAGTTATATTTACATATTCTTCTTAACTTTTCATTTTAATTTTGGAACGGTTGTTCAAAACTAATGTTGTGTATGTTTAAGGCGGTCTGATTCAAATGACTTGGAGAAATTTAAAAAACCCTACTCAGCAAAAGCCTGAAAGAAGCTCAGATGAATGTTTTAAATCATTAAAAACTAAATTTGAATCCTAATTTGTCATAGACAGTCTTCATCATCTTTACAGTAAGATTTAAAGATATATCTAATATTTATTACAGTCAATCAGATTGCCGAATACTTTCATGCAGTCAAATTACTGTCTGTCATCTTGTAATTTTATTTGCAAATCAAGTGACATTAAATACACAAACAATGAAGACAGATCACTCAAAGAGACATGTATAAAATCCTCTCTAAAATTAAAGCCCACATTTTAATAAATACAACATTTTGTTAAATACACAATGCCTTTATGACTCACCATCATGATATTAAATAAAAACAATAATATAAATGTAGAGGATGCTGCCTGCGATGCTCTTATAGAAACACAACCCCGCCTCCACAGTGACTTCAGTCCAGTGAAAACGTCATTTTCCTCGTGTCAAAGTGGCTTCATCTACAAAAATAAAAAAAGGAAGAAAACGGTCAGTCAGTGTTGGTATTTGAGCTTAAATTCACAAGAATATTGTGTGCATCATCTCCATGGTAACAGCATCACCATACTGGAGTAATCCTCTGGAGTCATGGGTTGTGAGATGATTGCTCTGAAGGCTTCCATCCACTCCTTCCTCTCCTGCTCCTGCTCACACATGAACACAAACTGCCTTCCTGGAGTCTCCAGCGTGATCCCACAGTGCCACCGCCCCGACCTCATGTTCCGGCCACAGCTCTCTGACACAGAATAACCGTGGTTCTCTGAGCCGATGAACACAGATCCCAGATCCGTAGCGTCCTGACAGACAGCAAAATGGAAATGAGCTTATCCAGAGGGGCAAAAAAGTATTCGGCAGCCACTAATTGTGAAAGCTGTCCCACTAATTATGCAGATGAGAGGACTGTAATTTTCACCAAAGGTCCATTTGAACCGTGAGAGACAGAATGTAAAGAAAAAAAATAATAATACATTTTATTTCAACAGCGCCTTTCTGAACACTCAAGGACACTTTACAGACAGAGATAAAATACACAACAATAAAAGATAAAACAGCATAAAACAAACAGATAGATTGGAGCAAAGAGAGTAACTATTGAAATGCTAGATGGAACAGATGGGGTTTGAGTCTGGTTTTAAAGAGAGTGAGGGAATCAATGTTATGGAGGTCAGGAGGGAGTGAGTTCCAGAGCTGGGGAGCAGAGCGACTGAAGGCCCTGCTCCCCATAGTGACCAGACGGAAAGGTGGGACAGAGAGGTAAATGGAGGAGGAGGACCTGAGGGAACGGGTGGAGGTTGAAGGATGAAGGATGTCTGAGAGGTATGGTGGAGCTAGGTTATGGATGGCTTTGAATGTATATAGCAGAATTTTGAATTGGATTCTGGAAGTGACTGGGAGCCAGTGGAGCTGCTGAAGAACAGGGGTGATGTGGTGGAAGGAGGGAGTTCTGGAAATGATGCGGGCTGCCGAGTTCTGGAGAAGTTGGAGTTTATGGAGGGATTTGTGAGGAAGACCAAAGAGAAGAGCATTGCAGTAGTCAATACGGGAAGTGATGAGGCTGTGGACAAGGATGGCGACCGAGTGAGTAGTGAGAGAGGGGCGTAGGCGGTTAATGTTACGTAGATGGAAGTAGGCAGACCGGGTAATACTGTTTATGTGGGACTGGAAGGATAGTGAGGAGTCAAGGATGACACCCAGACTCTTGACCTGAGGGGAGGGGGAAACTAAGGAGTTGTCGACAGGAAGTGTAAAGCTGTGGATTTTGGATAGTAAAGATTTAGTGCCGACAAGTAACATTTCTGTTTTATCACTGTTAAGTTTGAGAAAGTTTGATGTGAACCAGTCTTTGATTTCAGATAAACAACTGGTGAGGGAGGAAGGAGGAAGTGAAGAGGAGGGTTTGGAGAATACATAGAGCTGGGTGTCATCCGCGTAACAATGAAAATGGATGTCAAATTTACGGAAAATATTTCTCAGGGGAAGAAGGTAAGTGATGAAAAGAAGTGGACCGAGAACAGAGCCTTGGGGGACGCCGGTAGTGACAGGGAAGGGACGGGAAGTGAAGGATTTTAGTTGATTAAACTAGGAAATCTTCTAAAATCCTATTTTTTCTATATTGTGTCTCACAGTTGAAGTGAACCTGCGGTAATAATCACAGACCTCTCATCTTTTTCCATGGACAGCTCGCACATTCGGTGGCTGCCAAATGCTTATTTGCCCTGCTGCGTTAGTTATATTTCAAAACCATGTTTTTGCCACGCTTTCTGTTATTTTTCTTTACCAGAGGAGACTTGAAATACAGAAGCTTTCTGTTGGTTGAGAAAAGTGTGAACCACCTCTTCTTGAATGCCTCTCGTTGCTGAAATGCAAACCAACAACAATCTGGATTATTTGAAGAATGAGTCCAAATAACTTGAAAAAAGAGTTCGTGAGAACGGACCGTTGGGCCGGTTTTCTCCATGTAGCCTTCCTTCAGGCAATGTGCCTGAATCTGAGGGATTAACTGTGATAAATAAAAACAATATTAACACATTGGAAAACATCTGTGCAAACCGCTTTTACAGTCAAATATATTCAGTCCGGATTTACACAATATCACTTTTAACAGTCTTTTTATTCAATTTTTAAAAATTTTCAAGACAAAAGCAGAAATTTTTATTTAAACTGAAGATTGAAATAAGGCATTAAATGAATCCATGTTTGATGATAAACTCCATATTGCCTTGGTGTAATGTAATCTCTTCACCTAGATTTAAATCTAGTTTTTATGGTGATGTGCTTAACCAGGTCCGATTAAAACAACGGTTTCCATTTCAGCTGTACTGGGATGGCAGAAACCAAGTCTGAAGTGACTGAAACATGTTTAAAATGTAGCAAAAAGTGGTAAAAGTCACATGATAACTATGCAGAAACCAATTCTAATAGCAGAATGTGTCATGTTCTGTGTCCCTCTGTCCCCAGCCTCCTCCTGTTCTCACTCCGGGTTCTCCTCTTGTGTCCCATTGTGTTCCCCAGCCCACTCCAGGTTTCACCGTAGGGTTTTCAGATTTAGAAATCCCATCCCTGTTTTTCTTATGATTGTCTTGTTTTCAGGTTTTAGGCGTTCACTTATCTGTAGTTTCTCTGTAGATTTATTTTACCTAGTCAGTTTTCCCCACTCAGCTAATTAGTCTCACCTGATCCCTTCACCTCTCACGCACCTGCTTCCTGTTTCCCTGATTGCTCCCCTCTGTGTATATAACCCTGTCTGCGTCTCAATATTGTGTTGGTTCATTGTAATTGTCAGCGTGTTCTGTCCTCCTCTAGTTACCCTAGTTCGTCCTCATTAGTGAGCTTCTGTCTGTCTGTTTGTTCGTTCGTTCTGCGAGTTTGATATTAAGTCGGGTTTGTTTTGTGGACTTTGGCGCACCCGCCTTTAAAATAAAGGTAGTATTCTCTCAAACCTCTCCTGCTTTGAGTCATTCTGGGGATTCTGCATTTTGCGTCCTAACCTCCTGCTCTCACTGTGACAGAATGAAAGTGCTAGTTCAGATTATTTAAAGTGGGATTCTGTTCACAATCTATACTAGTAAACTCTCGGCCTCAGTTTATAGAGAAATGGAGACAACTTCTGAGATAGTCGCATTAGGACCAGTCTGATCTAAGCATATTTAAAAATTATTGCCCATATTGGGCTAAAAGGCCAAATGTGGACCATGATGTTTTCGCCTGTTTGATTTCATAAAATATCTCACAACCCTGCATGTTCTACCTGTGCATGTGTGGGTTCTCTCCGGGTACTCCGGCTTCCTCCCACAGTCCAAAAACATGACTGTTAGGTTGATTGGTCTGTCTAAATTGTCCTTAGGTGTGAGTGTGTGTGTGTGTGTGTGCATGATTGTTTGTCCTGTGTGTCTCTGTGTTGCCCTGCGATGGACTGGCTCTCTGTCCAGGGTGTACCCCGCGTGATTGCCCATTGACCGCTGGAGATAGGCACCAGCCCTCCCGCAACCCTAAGTGGACAAAGGGGGTTCGGACAATGGACAGATGGATGGATCTCACGACTCCCAGACAGACGTTAATGAAACCTTCAGAAACTACCCATCACATGCAGATCTACCCATGACTAGCCTTAGGAAACACAAAGATGGCCACAGCTCAGAAGGTTTCACAGCTGACGTCTGACTAAAAGGTCTGTGAGATGGATGTGACTCAGTTAGCAATTCTTTTTATTTTTTCTTCATTTTAATTAAACATGTTACAAACATATCCCAACAGCCTGCAGAATACCTTGTTACGGTGCACCAGCACCAGCATGCAAGACTCAGGGTTGGACGTGCCTGGGAGGCATCCTAATCAGATGCCCAAGTCACCTCAACTGGCTCCTCGACGTGGAGGAGCAGAGGGTCTACTCCGAGCCCCTCCTGGATGACCGAGCTTCTCTACCTATCTTTAAGGGAGACCCCAGCCATCCTTTGGAGAAAACTCATTATGGCTGCTTCTATCTGAAATCTTGTTTTTTCGGTCACTACCCAAAGCTTGTGGCCATAGGTGAGGGTAGGAATGTAGATTAACTGGTAAATTGAGAGCTTCGCCTTCTGGCTCAGCTCTCCCTTCCCCTCAACAGACCGGTACAATGCCTGCATCACTGCAGATGCAGCACCAATCCGCCTATCGATCTTGCGCTCCAGCTTTCCCTCGCTCGTGAACAAGACCCCGAGATACTTAAACTCCTCCACTTGGGGCAGGACCTCATCCCTGACCCAGAGAAGGCATTCTACCCTTTTCCAAAAGAAGAAAATGTTCTCAGATTTAGAGGAGCTGATTCTCATCCCAGCTGCTTCACATTTGGTTGCGAACCGCTTCAGCAAAGCTGGATATCACTGTCCGATGAAGCCAACAGGACCACATCATCTGCAAAAACCAGAGACCTGACCCTTAGGCTACCGAAACAGATCCCCTCAACACCTTGGTTGCACCTAGAAATCCTGTCCATAAAGGTTACGAACATAATCAGTGAAAAAGGGCAGCCTTGGCGGAGTCGAACTCTCTCTGGAAGTGAGCCCGACTTACAGCCAGCAATGCTGACCAAGCTCTGACACCGGTCATACAGGGACCTAACAGCCCGTATCAGAGGGCCTGGTACCCCATACTCCCGGAGTACCCCCCAAAGGGCCCCCAAGGGACGTGGTCAAACGCCTTCTCCAAATCCACAAAACACATGTAGACTGGTTGGGCGAACTCCCACGCACCCTCCGGGATCCCCCTAAGGGTATAGAGCGGGTCCAGTGTTCCACCGCCAGGACGAAAACCACATTGCTCCTCCTGAAACTGAGGTTCCACAATCCGTCAAACCCTCCCCTCCAGAACCCCTGAATAGACCTTACCAGGGAGGCTCAAGAGTGTGATCCCTCTGTAGTTGGAACACACTTTGCAGTCCCCCTTTTTAAATGGGGGGACCACCACCCCAATCTGCCAATTCAGTGGAACTGCCCCCGATGTCCACGTGATTTTGCGGAGCCACGTCAGCCAACACAGCCGTACAACATCTAAAGCCTTAAGGAACTCCGGGCTGATCTCATCCACCCCCAGAGCCTAACCACCGAGAAGCTTTTTGACAACCTCAGTGACCTCAGCACCAGAGATTGGAGAGTCCAACCCAAAGCTTCCAGGCAGCCCACGATCCAGAACATCCCGAGTAGAGGTCCGAAGCACACCTTACCTTCCCCACTATAGATAGTGTTGGTAGCGCACTGCCTTCCTCTCCTGAGGCATCGGATGGTGAACCAGAATCTCCTCGAAGTCGTGCGGAAGTCTTGCTCCATGGTCTCACCAAACTCCTCCCACGCCTGGGTTTTTGTCTCCACGACCACCGGAGCCACATTCCGCTTGGACTGCCAAGTACCTATCAGCTGCCTCTGGAGGCCCACAGGCCAAAAAGACCTGATAGGACTCTTTCTTTAGCTTGACAGCATCTCTAACCGCCAGTGCCCACCAGCGGGCTCAGGGGTTGCCACCACAACAGGCACCGACGATCCTGTAACTACAGCTCCGGTCGGCCGCCTCAACAATGGAGGCACGGAACAGGGCCCATTTAGACTCAATGTCCCCCGCCTCCCCCGGAACATTTTGGAAGTTCTGTCGGAGGTGGGAACTGAAGCTCCTGCTGACAGGAGACTCTGCCAGATGTTCCCAGCAAACCCTCACAATATGTTTGGGCCTGCCAGGTCTGACCGGCATCCTCCCCCACCATCGGAGCCAACTCACCACCAGGGTCAGTTGACCGTCAGCAGAATGAGAGAGTCAGCAGAAGGAGTGCTCTCTAGCACCCTCCAAGGTCTCCAAAAAGGGTTGTTTGTCTTAGCTGGAGTTTGGTGCATAAACACAAACCACAGTCAGAACCCATCCCCCCACACGTAGGCGGAGGGAGGCTACCCTCTCGTTCACTGGGGTAAACCCCAACAAACAGACACCAAGGTGGGGGGCAACTAGTATGCCCACCCCTGCTCAGTGCCTTTCAGTGGGAGCAACTCCAGAGTGGTAGAGTGTTCAACCCCTCTCAAGGAAACTGGTTCCGTAGCCAGAGGAACCTCTCAACCTCACACACCTCACACACCAACTCAGGCTCCTTCCCCACCAGAAAGGTGACATCCCAGTGACCCGCTTCCAGGTGAGGGAACACAATTTCTATATATTTTTTTCTTCATAAGAGGTCTTCTGGCTGCTCTTTGCCTGATCCCTCACCTAGGACCTGTTTGCCATGGGTGACCCTACCAGAGGCATAAAGCCTGAGACAACCTCGCTCTTAGGATCACTGGGACACTCGAAACCCTCCACCACGGTGAAGCTTGGTTTATGCTTGATGCATTCACTTTCCGCGCGGTGATGCGGCTCGCGGATGGAACGCGCTTCGCAACTCGCAGTGTTTATAGTTCGTGCGGCTCGTCTCTGCGGTGAGCCAATATACTCCCAAACTGTAAGGGGCAGCATGGAGCTCTACGGCAAACATCCAACACTACACCATAGTAGAAGTAGAAATTACTGTTTACAACATGGCATTTCAGCATTTTTAACAGCGTTCTCGTCTTTTCCGACAGTGCGAGCTATTTCTCTCCAAGAATTATTAACAACATGTTGATCACGGTGATCTTTGAGAGCTGAATCATACAAATGTCTGTATTTACGAACCTCTGCCATACTACTTCTTGCCGGTCCGCCATGTTTTTCCGCGTCCGTCCGTCCACGTGGTTAGAAATTTTCCGAGGTGCGCGTTGCGGAAATTCTGGGCCGTGCAGAGGCGCGGTGGAGGGGCGTGGTTGTTAAAATGACACAAAATGACGCAACTTTTCCGCGCGGAGCCGTGCGGACCTCGTGGACGCGTCAAGCATAAACCAACCTTAAGGTGGCAGCCCAAGGGGAGGGTGTTGAAACGTGTTTGTGACAATTGCAACTATTTTGGATGGATGTAAAAAAAAAAATCGTAACAACTGACAACAGCGCCATCTGCAGGAAGCTTCTCCTGAGGCGTTTGATCTGAAGTCTGGCGATCTTTTCCTGAGGCCTGATGATGTCCTAAAAAGTACACTGTAAATGTGATTTTAGCTGAGCGTCATCCTCATTGTTTAGTCAGGTGTAGAAAAATCATTCACACACTCATCTTTGTGATAAATCACAAAAATCTGCCTCACATGGTTACTTTGAAGAGTTGGATGTTTCTTCAGCAAGTAGGCCAGGCGCGTCGCCCGAATTGCATTAAAAAAGGACACGATCACCTGGAATGGGTCAGATGTGTGTCAGGAAGACACAAGCTGCTTCTCTTTCGTCTAAATTAGATTTTGTTTCCAGCTAGCCTCACCTGGCCGTCCTCGTGGTAAACAAACAGGTTCCTAGTGTGTTCATCCTCCTTAAAGGAAATCTGCAAACCGTGAGCGTGACCGATCTTCTCCGGCTGGAACTCTGCATTCAGGTCCTTCATGCTGATGACAGCTTTGGGAACCTTGGACTTTTTAATCGAGACAACTGAGTGAGACTGCAGCAGATGACTGGACTAAAAAGCTGTAAATGAAAACAAACGGCTCACATCCTCCTTGATAAAGTATCTGAGGGTGAAGTCCTTCTGGGACAAAAGGAAGATCCTCTTCAGAAACTGCTTATTGTCCTTTCCCTTCTTCCAGAGGACGACTTCAAATAAATCTAGGGGGAATTCATCAGAACTGATTATACAACCTGCAACATATTCTGTATATGACAAGATATACCTCCTCTTAAAGCAGAAATCCAGAGTTTCTCCACACTAAGGAATTGTGTGTGACTTTTTAGAAATCTATAAAAGTGATAGTCTTAACCTGGACTGTGACTTATTGTAGGCAATACACCAATTTATCTTTGCTAAACTCATCCCCCATCCCAGAGCCCCAGGCAATTTAGACATCCGCATCACAGAGCATGTGCGAGGATTTGAGGACGTCCCTAGACTTCTTAGGTGTGTTCTTGCTGTGTCGTATCTCTAATTCCATGCTGTAGTTCTTTTTTAAAACACAGAGCAGTTTTGTTTACCTGTTTTCCCGCTAGATCTGCACTTTTCTGGACTGAGATGTCTGATGTTTTTCCTGGGATCTGCTTTAGCCACTCCTCTGGTCTGGGAGTTACTGCCCCGATGACCATGGGTACCACTGATGTCTTCACTCTCCAAGCTTTGTCGTGTTCTTCTCTGAGGCCCTGGTACTTCTCTAGTTTCTCATGTTTCTTTTTCCTGATGTTGCATCACTTGGTATTGCCACATCAACCACAACAGCTGTCCTCTGTTGTTTGTCCACCACCACAATGTCCAGTTGGTTCACCATCACCATTTTGTCGGTCAAGATCTGAAAGTCCCACAGGAGCTTGGCTCTCTCGTTCTCTACAACTTTAGGAGTTGTTGCCCACTTTGACCTTGGAATAATGTATATATGAATAAAGTATCCTGGCAAGCCATCCTATTTATGTGAATATATAGTCTGGCCATGACCCAAAGACAGAGCTCAGTCGTGGAGCGGAATCTACGGTTGTCTTTCAATCAGTCTCCATATGCTATTGGACAACGCAACGTACTCATCGCTATGGTTGTTAGTCAACAACGCTGTCTGCCATATGC